ACAGGTATAGTGAAGAACTATTATTTCATCTGTCCAGTGTACCTCCTTCTGTAAACTTTACTCCCACTCTTTTGGAAGTGCTCTTCCCCCAGTCAAACCAAGTGGTTCTGAGAAAATGTGCATGTTCATACATAACCCCATGCTCCTCCCCTAGAGAACAGTAAATTGGTTTAGAAATGGACAAAATCTTCCAGCTAAGGCAACAAAATCTCCCTCCTCTGTTAATTTTTAACTTTTCATCAGAGAAAGTGCAAGTTGATCCATCACCCATTGTAGAAGTTGTGGGATGTAGAACTCAGGAAGTACCCATGGCAGTGTTTCTTGCCATGTGGAAGAAGCCATCCTCCAGTGACAGAGAAGGGAGCCAGCGCAGAGAGAGAAGCAGAAGCAGGGGCTGGAGAGAGAGTCCCCTGTGGTGCTTGACCAGTTGTTTCAGTTTTTTCTGGAAGTCCCATCTCCATCCCTGAAGTTCCCATGGTTTGATTGTTCAGTTTTTCATGACATTCTGTGAATCAGCCTTTTCTCTTTACCTAAACGATTTCAAGGTGGTCCAGTAATCTGTAACCAAGAGACATGTGACTCATGCAATGGGGAAAGTTCATTTCATTTTCCCTTGAAAATATTTATGACTGTGTAGTGGTAAAAAGTTCTAGCAAAGAAACTCATTCAAATGTCTCCAGGACACTGATGATTCAGAAGGGCTTACATTTTGATTCCTTTCAGGTCACCAACTGCCACACTCACTTGGTGGTTCTTTGGTTGGTTGGTTTGGTTTTTCTCTCTCGGTTGTTTTTGCTCACCACAACATACTCCTTCCTAAAAGCTTTGCATGCATAAAAAAGTTTTAATTTATTACTGCTCTCTTGATTATAGATCACTATTGATAGGTAGAGCTGTAGTTTATTCATTGTTACTGCTGAATAATATTACATCAGGTGATTCTGCTGCAGTAATTTATTCTACTGTTGGTGGATATTTGGGTTGTTTTCATTTTATTTATTTCTTGGTGTTAGGAACAACGTAGCCTTGAATATTCTTATACATGCCTGATGTAAGTATCTGCGTACACACTGTATTCTGTCAGTGTCACATCATAAACATTTTTGGGCACATGTCTCACTTGTGTAGTATATCTACTTTTGAATATTTTTTATTGAAGCTGAACTAAATGTTTACAAGTGTTATATATTGCTAAAGAGCCTTAACAGGCTGAGAGAGAGAGAGAGAGAGAGATTCGACTGTAAAAACCTGTTTTTCTTTTCACTTCTATTCATATTCTTAAGGAAAAAATACTAGAATAATTTTATGTCAAATGTTTTTATATTTTGTTATATAATATATAATATTACATAATATATATAATATATATAATATAAATATTTTGTTGTAATATAACTCAGAGTTTTTATATTTTGGCATCTGATCACTTATAAGGAAGAGATAAGGGTGCCAAGTATAATCTTATTCACTTATAATTGGTTAATGTTTCACAAATGGAATCATAACATGTGCTTTAGATTATAAAGAAATAACGAAAGGCTTTAGTTAAACTGATCTTTGTTGAATCCCTGCTCTTTGGACAAGTTATTTTAAATTTTCCAAGGCCTCTTCTCCAAATGGGGATCCACAGAGTGCTGTGGCTATGAACGTGGGCTCACCACTGTGACCTTAAATGAGTTGTTTGGTGATTCTAGACGTTGGCCTTCTAGTGCATCTTAAGATAGACACTCAGACAGACCAACACACACACTAACATACATACATGTGTATGTAGATACTTATGCCAGGCACGTGTAAGAATATTCAAGGCTACGTTATTCCTAACACCAAGAAACAAATCAAATGAAAACAACCCGAATATCCACCAACTGTTGAATAAGTTACTGCAGCATAATCACCTGATGTAATACTATTCAGCAGTAACAATGAATGAACTACAGCCCTACCTATCAATAGTGATCAATCTCAAAATTAGATATTGAGAAACTGGTAAATTCTAGAATAATTCATTCTTGAGGATTCCATTTCCATCAAGTTCAAAAACAAGTACAACTATACCATGTGTCATCTAGGGATACAAACAGAGGTGGCGAAACTAAAAACTAAACAACAAGGTAGTGGTTTACACAAAATTTAGGATAGTGGTTACTCCTAGAGGTAAGAGGGGGACATGAGAGAGCACACAGGGACAGAGCTGTATTTCTTAAACAGAGGAGTATGTATAGGGTGTCCACTTTCTCATTCTTCTGCCAACTGTATATTTCATGCACTTATGGTCATTTTAAAGCAAAAATAGTAATTATAAAAACTACCTACCACACTCTAAGAGAACTAAATAAAATTATAGCTGTTTAGCAACAGTGTCTAGCATATAGTAAGCTCTCAATAAGTGATAGGAGCCATAGTGATGATGTTATGACATGGAGATAGTTATACCACTTAGAAGAAGAAAATGCCAAAAAGCATGTCTTCCAAGATGCCTGAAAAATCTATGTTAGAACCACAGTCCTACTAGAGAATGAAACTTGATGGCTTTTAACCTTCACTAATCCGAGAGAGAGTACCAGAGAGAGTCCTAGGTTCCCAGCCATAGATGAGAATTCTGCATGATTAAATGTCAGGCCAATAGTGATGAATATGAGGTGTTTAGTTTCCTGATTTCAAAGAATTAAGCCCAACCTTTAAAGAAAAAATGATTAATATCTGCCTCTTAGTAGGGGATCAAGTATCAACTTTAAGCTTTTCTAACTAGTGTCTGATCGCAGAATAATAGAATCACAGAATTAGTAAAGCACCTTGACCATCATCTCATATAATTATTTGTTTTAAAGCTGAAGAAGCTATAGCTCAGGGAGGTTAGTTGACTTCAAGGTCAACAATGAGTTTTGAGACACAATCAGAGCTAGAACACAAGTTAGGTTGGAAGCTGCAGAAAATGTACTACTGTTGGTGTTCACTAGGCCAAATAGAAGAGAAGATGGGAGTAGGATGGGAGTAGAAGGGAAAGTGAGTGAGATTGGAAGCACCCAGCTCCTTTCAAAGGAGCTTTGGAACTAGAATTCACTGAAGGTTCCCTGGGATACAGGCCTGACACACCACTTGCTGGGTAACACCTCTGAATGAACTCCTTTCAGGCCTGATTCCTGGGAAGAAGACAGACTCAGTTCATTCTAATAGCAGATATTATCTCATATGCAATTTCAGAGGACTCTGACACCCTCTGTCTCACCCTTATCTCCATCACCTGCAACTAATCCACTTGATGGGTGTATAGAGTATTTGCTCTTACTTAATTATCCTCAAATCGTGTTTATCCCTAGCCAATCATCTATCAAAAGCTAACTTTGTAATTATTTTCTTCAATAAGAACTCACAGGAAGCCTATTAAGGATAAAGGCTCTGTTCTGGACCCTACGAAATTGATGAAAGTGTTTAACCAAACTCCATTTTCCTTGTCCATTTAGGGGAGATGGTGATTTATTCTAAAGAAAAATAGACCAACTAGAAGTAACTCTGTACAGAGTAATCCACCCAACCTTTATATCACAAGGACAATTAAATAAAAGCCCATAAAGAACCTTTGCTTGCATCAGGACCTTATCAGCTTGAGCCAGCTGATAGGGAAAGTAGGTCTTATGGTTGAACTCTTGAACCAGGAAAGGATCAGTCCAAAGTTTCTGTCAGGTGACGTGACCTACAAAACTATTCCCATTCCTTGGCTTATCTTTATGACTGACAAATGATTGCCTCTTATTTGCTCTATATGCTTGGAAAATGTGGTTAAATTGCTGAAGCTATCCCAAGCAAGAGATTTCCTTCTGGGGAAAAAAAAAGAAAAATAATCCCCTAAATGCAAGGTTTAATTAATGGAAAAGAGGCTTAGATTATTAAACAGAGCTTTCCACCACCCACCCCACCTCCCCCCCCCCCGCAATGTTTGGTGGTTTGGGAGCTTTTTTTTAACAAGCAAAAAGACCTCTAAACAGAAACCAGACCTTTCGCTAACTTTTGTATTCTAATTTGTTGCCATTCTATGGTGCTTGTAATAGCCCGTAACAAGAAAGTATGACCTCATCAGTTGTTTACTCACTGCTGTTCACCAATTTTATACGTTTCATTGGAAAGTCCCATTTAGGGGAAATTTCTAAGTCATAAAAGAGCTCTTTTTTTGTTCTTTATAAATGAAAAAGTTGAATTGTAATCCAGGTACAGTGGATGATTTCTCTAAAGGGATAATTCAGTGGGCAGAGCCCAGTTTAAGCCTCCCTGATTATTAAGGGAAGCTGGGTTTGAGATCTTTAAGCAGGACTGTGACCAAACAGTGTGACCATCCAGTGGCCTTATGCACTGGCATAGCTTCTAACTTCAGAGATGGACAGTGAAAGGCAGAGTTAATAACTGCCTATTGACTGACCAAGCAATGTGCATAGACAAGTGTTCAAACAATGAGAATACTCTCTCCTCAAGAGACTTACTGTCTGAAACATTGAGTTAAATGGAGCACCCACTGTATCTAAAGACACCAATCAGTGGACAAAAACTGTTCAATCAAACGCCAACCTCCATAGTTCATTGGGAGGGCAGTAATTTTAGCATCAGAATAAAGTTACTTTTCAGAAATTAACCCTCTTATGAAGGAAACAGAGAAAGAAAAAGAAGACATAAACAAGTAAATATATCTCTCAGACAAGATCATGGCATTTTTTTTAATCTCAGAAATTATTCCAAATTAAAGAAAATAACTTGAAAAGACAAATATTTTCATAGTCAGGAACACTAGGTTTGGAGCATTGTCTGTTGGTTTCTTCACCTGTTTTAATTCAGTTTTTCATCAAGGGCCAGTTTATTTCTCAGACCTTGACCAGCAATAGATTAAAGTCCTTACTCAGAGATATGGAATGCCTTATCTAATGACACATATTCTTTCTCTGTCCTTCAAAGCACATATTGCCCCCTCAAAGGAAATTCACTTGACACTAAATGACACAGCCCATAAGTACCTCATATGGAGATCCCCCTGGCTTCCTGAAGACCACATCACAGCACCAGTCAGCATCCTTTGTAAGAACCAGCAGATTCCATGTGTAGTTACAGTGCTGGGTAGAGGAAGTAAGAACAGGAGAAAGCAGCCTTAGGTCATCCTCCCAAGGCCCCTGATGTGGAAGGAACAATTACCTAGTACACACAAACGATCATTGTAATCCCCAGTACAAGGGCTTGGGGTGTGGGAAAGGAAGCTCGGCGTGGAATTTGAAAGCTAGAATTGCAAGGTGAGAGATCTAAGAGCTTCAAGAGGAGTCTGTTTTGTTTGTTTTCAGTCTAGACTGAGGGTACAAGGACTTAGGAAATATGCTTTAGGTTAGAAGACACCGGGGGGGGGGGGCGGGTTGTTTTCTTTCTCCGCTTAGAGCCCTAAGCAATAATGTACATGTCAGTGCCTGCACTCAGAGCTGACTAATGACGACAGAAATTCCCTCTCTTTCTTTCTACATCCAATCAAAAATCAAGACTGCCACTACCTTCTTAGGACGTCCTCCATGACTTGTATTTCCCATACTACTGAGTTCTTCAATATTCCAGATGTCTCAGTATTTCTCACCTGGATTAGATCAGTCATCTCAATAACTGCTCTCCCCACTAACAGTCCCTGATCTGTTTTCCACACTGCTTTCTAAGGAGTAGTTTTGGCCATAGGATTGCCCAGTTTAAAAAACTTTAGTTGCTTCCAATAGTCTTCGGGTTAAAATCCAAGGTTGCTTCCAATAGTCTTCGGGTTAAAATCCAAGCTATCCTAGTACAGACTCTGATAACTCAGTCACCTTGGTTCATATCCTGTCTTTGTCACTTACCAACTTAGGAAAGTTTCTTAACCTCTTTGATCCTGAATTTCCTCATCTCTCAAATGGGATAACGATAGTCCTTCTTCATAGGTTTGTTGTGAAGATTCAATGAGATACTTCTTTTAAAAACCTTAGCACTGTGACTAGTTTTCAGTAACTTTTGGCTATTATTACTATTATGATTTCACCAACTCACTATTAGCTACGAAAGCCCTCCCACAATTTGACCCCTTCTCCCTCTCCAAGTATCTGTCTTGCTACTATCCCATCAGTAATCACAGGTCTTAGGGACTACCTACTCTGTGCCAGTCCCTGGTGCCAAAGGATTTATATGTATTCTTTGACCATTAGCAATCCTATTAGATCAGTACTAGCATCCTCATTTTACAGGTAAGAAAACTGAGGCTCAAAAATTTAAGCAACTTGGCCAAAGTAACCCAGCTAATAAGTGGTGGAGCCCATAGTTGAAATCAAGTCCATTATACACCAAAACTGTTTTTTTTTTTATGACAACACTATGCCGCCTTTACCCTATTTTATTTCCCAAAACAGCCACAACAGTATTTCTGGCCCTGTGTGTTTTTCCAGAACCTTGCCACTTCTCCATTAAGAGGTAGCATCTATGTCCCCTCCCCTTGAACCTGGGCAGGACCTTTTGACTGCCTCACCTAATTGAGTCTGGCACCAGTCAGGCTACATGACTTCTGAGGCTAGGTCATAAAAGGCAACGTTTCTTCTGTCTGGCAGTCTCTTTTGGAGCATGAAAAAACCTTTGGAGTCCTTAGCTTCCATGTAAGTTCAGCTCCCTGAAGCTGCCATGCCTGAGAGACCACATGAAGAGATCACATAAAGATAGAAATGCATCAGGAGCCCCAGTTGCCTAGCCATACTTCAAGCAGCCCCAGCAGACACTGCATAGGCTAGAGAGGAGCTGCCCTACCAAGCCCTGACCAAATTACAGATTTGTGAGTTAAAGAAATGATCATGATTACTTAAGCCACTAAGTTTTGGAATGCTTTGTTATGCACCAGTAGAAAACCAGATCACCCACAGAAACCTCCAGTACTATTTAAATCACTTTCATTTCCCCTGACAACACACCTTCCATGGCCTTCAAATATGCAGCTGTCTCTGCCTGCAAATCACCACCAGCCCATGGTACCCCAGCCAGCACACTCATACCCTCATTTAGAGAGTAAATTTGCTTTCAAGAGTCATTGTAGATAGTTTTTGTTGTAGTTTTAGTCATCTTTAGTCACTATTGTAATTTTCATCATCTTTCCTCAAATCTGGAAGTGGGTTGGTAAGGACCTAAACTTCAAATCAAAATGTCTAGGCTTAATTTTTTTTTTTTTTTTTTTTTTGTTCACTGCTTCCAGGCTGTGGGACTTAATCTCGTCAACCTCTGTTCCTCCAAAAGGGAGTTATAGCCAAACTCCTATCTTGTATTGTAGAGGTTCATTTACAGCTCTGGGCAAAGTTCCTGGCATTTAATAAGAGTTCAATACATGTTGCTATTATAAGAGCACTAATTATATTGCACTGCAATTATCTCTTTCTTCCTCTGTTTCCTCTTCTGAACAAGAACAGTATATCTTCATGCTTGGTACCTAGGATATACAAAAAAACATTTTTGTTAATTGAATAAATGAATGAATGAACCAAGAATCAAATGGATGAATGAGTGAATGGGTATGTATAATTTAGCCTCCCTTCAACTCTTTTTGTCCAGCATGTAGGAGGGGGAAGATGATAGAGATTTCCTGTTCTAGGAGAAGTAGTCCGAGTGCTGGCCATTTGCTTTCATGTCAGGTCCAATTCTTCTCTCTTTTCCTAGTGGTACTGTGGTACCACAGCCATGCAGGGAGCATCCTCACTTGGCCAAGTGAACCCTTTTACACCTGACAATCCAAACCAGATGGCAGAACTGTAAGGAAAGCCAGCGCCAAAATCTCAGATGGCCTCCAACTACGGATTCCCTTCCCTCTCCTGTTTTACAGCGTGCCATCAAGGTACCTGACCTTGCCAAGTAAAACCTGTTAATCTTTTACAATGTCAGTCCTTTTTATGGACTCGACGATACGGCAATGCCATATGGTGGCAGTTCAGTAGAAGGGACCCTGCTTCCACCTGACCAGCAGGATAGTGCTGCACTACGCAAATAATTTACCTCTTGCCTCAAGCTTGGTGTCTCCCCACTGATTTCTGCTCAACAGAGAGAAATTACCTAACAACAACACAAACTTGATTAATACGATGAGAAGAGATATTGTACACTTAATTTTCATTTTCACCATAGGATTTACATACATACATTTTTAGACATAAAATTCACATTATAACAGCTAACAACCTATAGATATGTTGGCTGAGTTCCAATAGCTGCCATTAGAACTCAGTGATATTCCAGGACATCAATGTCATTCCACTGCATCTCAGTTTTAATATCCAGAAAACCCCAAAGCTTCAGTGAGTCCTTCAATATGCCCTCTTGCCTCAGCATAAAAGGAAAAGCTTAAATATTTTTTTAAGTGAGTAAAATCCAAGGTGCTGGCTGTCTATAGTCTGAAAATGCTTTAAAAGCAAATGTGGAATTTATCTTGTTGTTATTGTAGATTCTATGCTTCTTACAAGTTTAATCATTCTGCATTCTTTCTCTGGAAGGAGCTATTTGAAGGCTGCAGAATGCTGAGGGTTAGAAAGATTTCTGAGGCGTGGCACCGCCTTCTCTGATTGGGCAGCACATCTCGAACGATGTGGGACTTTTGCCGTTGACTCACCAGAGGGCAGCAGCTTTGCAGCTTGATGTCAGCAGGCAAGAATGTCACTTTCCCTGCCAGCCGCTCCCCCCAACCCCGAGCAGTAGCCCAGAATTAAGCAAAGCTGTTTGGGTTAGCCTCTGACCAGCCTCCAGGCTGGGCTTCTCGCTGCCCTGGCGACCATGCTCCAGCAAAGAAAATCCCACCAGATCTCTGCAGGGGAACGCGAAACTCTTCCAGCTATGTGTCTCTGGGGATACCAATATAATCGCCCAATTAAGGTTTGGATTTTGGGGGAACTGAGTATGGATTTCTAGGCACCGTTCCTCACTACACATACACACACATACCTTCTCTAGAAGGAAAACACCAGAATGCAGAAAGAAATCTGTAAACAGGCACTAGAAAAATTTCTAGATTCTAAATGGATTGTGTGCTGTTTGGACTCCTGGTAACTGATCTGCCTCAATTTCCCACACGTTTCTGACTGTTCCAACTAAGCCTCAGATGAGAGCTAGAACTATCCTTGAGGCCCCTTCTACCCTAACCGTCCGTGATCCCATGAAATTAGACTACTAGGAGCTTTCTGAGGGGATCGGCTTCCTGGTGCTCGTGAGACGTGGCAGAGCTGCTCGGCCGGCAGTAGCTTGTCCTAGCTCTGTGAGTACCTATTTTCGCTTACTACCTAGTTTCACATCGCCTCTGCCACCATCTTTCCATTTAGCAGAAAAGAGTCTTAGCTGTAAGTTCATTAAAATGTTCATATTTGTTGCACCTTTTAGATGATTCTTGTAGTTTTAGGCAACTGCAAGCTCACACAGCTGGTAGATTATATACCCAGTTAAGATAATCATTGCCCAAGGTCAAGCAACCAATTAAACCAGTATAGGTAAACCCAGGTGCAATTGATGAATCACAGACACTTAGTGTACCCTAATTCAACTTGCCAAAGTGTGGGGACCCCAGAGTTTAAGGCTGTCTGATTCCTTTGGTACACTAAGATCTGAGGCAAAAATGCTCTCCACATTCTTGTCCTCACTTTGTTTCTTTATCCTGATAGATGGTACCAGCCTCAACTCCCTGTTCTGTTTGACTGTCTACCAGGATTCTCCAGTTTGGTTACTCTAGTGGGCTAAATTGTGATCCCTAAAAAGATACGCTCATGTCTTAATCCCCAGAACGTGGGGGTATGAGCTTATTTGGAAAAAGTTATGATCTGGAGATGAGATCATCCTGGGTGATCCAGGTGGACCCTAAATCCGATGACAACTATCCTTATAAGAAACATACGGAGGAAGAACACAGGGAGAAGAGGACAGAGCCCTGTAGAGATGGAGGCACAAGTGGAGTGATGCAGCCACACGCCAAGAAACTCCTGGAGCCACCAGAAGCTGGAAGAGGCGAGGAACGGATTCTCCTCTAGGGCCTCTGCTGGGAGCACAGCCCCTGCCAACCTTTTGATTTCAGACTTCCTGCCTCCAGAACCGTAACTATTTTTCTGTTGTTTGAAAGGAACCAAGTTTGTGGTCGTTTTTTACAGCAGCCATAGAAAACAAATACATTTACAAACTTGAATGCCTTACAGAAATCACACAGGTAATGAAAGGAGCAAGCAGTCTAGGTAGGGAAGTTCTGGTTTTAACATCCACATGGTTTTTCATTACTAACGGGTTTTTTTCTCAAAGCAGGGAAACAACAGAAAGTGAAAGTGGTCTAAAGCTAAAGTGAGAACAAACGTCCTAGCCAAAAGAAGTGCCTGTTACTCAGACCCATCTAATTATTGCCATGGGAAAACGTGAGCCCATAATGGCCAGATCCTCCCATTTTTATTGGATTTTTATTTTCAATCTCCTGAATTTTAAGGGTTGGTTCAAAAGTCAAACAGGCAAACTGCACTGTGGGCCCAACCAAAGACGTTTGAGGTCTGAATTTTGACCGCAAGTGACTAGTTGCTGCCTCTGGAGCCAGTTGACCCTTCTAACAGTATTTAAGGGATGTGCCACAGACCACTCATAGCAGAACCAAGAAGAGGACCTTTTTGCCTCCTACTTAGACTGGTCTG